AGGAAGCTCCGCACTGTTTTCCATGGTGGTTACACCATTTTGCATTCAACGGGGAGCTAGAATTTAAGCAAGAAACTGATTCAAGAGCTGGCAGCTCCTAATCATGCTAGTATCTACCCCCTGGGGTATCAGAATATTCATGAAATAGGGTGGATATCGAGCCAGTCATGCAAGGCAGAAGGCGGTACCCACCAGATTGGCCTCAGAGCCTCTAAATCCATCTCTGTCTGTCTTCTGTAGGCTGGTTCCTCCCCTGACATGGAAGCACATGTTTGTTTCTCTCCCTGACGTAGGGTGTGGGGCAAGGGCCTCATTGACCAGCAGTGGGAAACTTTCTGCCGTGTGCTCTGCAACCACCGAAACCTGCAACATCTCGACCTGGGCACCAGCATCCTCACTGAATGGGCCATGAAGAAACTCTGTGCCGAGCTGAAGAGTCCAACCTGTACAGTACAGAATCTAGTGTAAGAAAATCCCTTCCTGTCACTCACCCCTCCCCCACAGCCCTTCCCCACCTACTCAGAGAAGACACAACTATAACCCCACAAACATATTCTATGAAAGATACAGGAATAAAGTTTCCAAAAGCACAGAATGGAAAGTGATTAAAGACCCTGTGAAGGGGTTACTGAAGCAGGTTCATTTACTCGTGGCTTTGAAGGATGAGTAGCAGTCGGCTGGTAGGGAAAAGGTGAGGGAAGCCCATCTCAGGCAAACAGTAGAACAAGAGGCAACAGCAAGATCAAAATGCTTGATTTGTGAGATGCTTTTAGGCTAATTAATAAGGTAGCAAATACATGAACACCTAACAACACTGGGTCTGTTGTGGGACCCAGGACACTGCACCAAGCACCTGGAGTAGGAGGCATGAAGTGCTTAGTTCTACTTCGTACAAAAGTTCTGCTCTTTTCCCTCCAAGACCAAGTGAGGTCCACGTGATGCCCAAGATTAGAGCAAGTCAAGCTCTTGGTTGCAAACATCTTCCCCTCCTTGCCCTCCTTTCTCTAAGCGGTTTCCTTAAGCTGGGATCTACAAAGGAACTTGGTGATCCCAGAATAACAAATAATTCCCTGTCCACCTTAAATCCTACACCAAACGTAATTTCTCTTTCAGTTATCTTAAATGTTTTCCCCCACCCCACAGCTTCCACTCCATTAGCTGTCCTGTTTCAGCTCCTAGTGTACTATAATTTGCCTTGATCTGTGTCCTCCCTGTATTTAATACAATAGTATTAATAATTAATACATGATCATGGTGAAGAGATTCAGGAAGTACAAAGGGATTTAAGTCACTCATTTCATAATGACTTTTTGGTCAATGATGGACCATACATACTGCAGTGGTCACATAAGATTATCATACCGCATTTTTGCTGTGGCTTTTCTATGTTTAGACGTACAAACACCACCGTGTTACGCTTGCCTCACTGAATATGTATCTCCCTGCGGCTCTGTCCCATTCTCAGTGGACTCTGTATCTCCTGCTTAAGCATAATTCTTTTGTTCGACTCCTTATCGAATGTCTCTCCCGCTAGATTAAGCTCCACAAAAGCAGGGATTGTTAGTCTTGTTTAATACTCTACTCTCAGTGCCTGGCACATCACAGGTGCTCAAATATTTGTTGCTTTAAGATTCAATACAAATAATTAGAAACTTGAAAGTTAGAATGGGAAAGGGACGAGAGGGAAAAATAAGGATGCAGCTAAATGTCACCAGCGTGTAAGTCGTCTCCTCGATGTTTCACATCTCCCACAGATTCAGAGATACGCAGATTATGGCTGGTCTCCAACATCTCTGGCTCACTCTTATCAGCAACCATCACATAAAATGCCTCAACTTGGGAAGCACCCTCCTGAAGGATGAAGATGTAAAAGCAGCGTGTGAAGCATTAAAACACCCGAATTGTTTCCTGGAGTCTTTGAGGTGAGTCTTGGGTAGGGTTTATGCCTTTCTTTTCTTTGCTTGTTTTGACTTTTTATTTTCAAATAATTACAGAAAGTTGTAAAACTCCTAGAGTTGGAAAGGTGGAAAAGTTCTAGCAGTAGATGGTGGTGATGGTTGCACAACAATGAGTTTAATGCCACTGGACTGTATACTTAAAAATAGTTAAAATAGTAAATTTTGTTATAAATATTTTATCACCATAAATGACTTGCAACATTTCATAAAATTAAAATATTGCAGAGAGGTCACATGTACCCTGCAGGCAGTTTCTCCCAACGGTTACATCTTGCATAACTATCACATGGTATAAAAACCAGGCCATTGACACTGGTGCAGTGCCTGTACTTCGTTCTGTGTAATTTTATCACGTGTAGACTTGTGTAATGTGCACAGTATCACATGACACTGTGACGTCACCCTCGTGCTATCTCTTTGTGGTCATGCCGTTCCTAATCCCTGGCCACCACTCAACGTTTTCCATCTCTGCACTGTTGTCATTTTGACAATGCTATAAAAATAGAATCAATACAGTGCGTCACTACGCGAGGCTGGCTTCGTGCAGTCAGCCCTTGGGATCCATCCGAACTGCTGCAGGTGTCGCTTTGTTCCTTCTGTTGCTGAGAGCTATTCTGGAGTATGGATGCACCACAGTTAGTCTAACCGTTCGCCTATCCAGGGAGATTTTGGTCAGTTGTTTCCAGCCTGGGGCTCTTACTGCAGTTTGCAAACCCTGGGCATGTGCTTGGTCCATTAGATTAGCTTGGTCTAAAGATACTACTGCTCAGTGTTTATGGCAATCTGAGACAAACAGGGCCCCCTACTTTGAGCTTTGTTTGCTGACACATCAACTACTGTGGAATACTTTGCTTGTACCGTGTATGCTTTTGCCCGGTAACTGGGAAACTGCACTTCCAAACATGTAACCCGAGGAAGTGGGCCAAAGCGTAGGTGTCCTTGAAGGATGGAAACACATATGTTTGCCCAACATCCTGTGGGTTTTACATCTCCTCTGGGAACAAACAGGAGCAGCTGCCACCCTCTCCCTCTCTCCCACTCTCTCCCTGCTTCACAAATAGGGTAACTGGAAGTTGGATTCAAAGAATAAATAAGACACACGTTGTCAGAAGAGAGAGAGGGGCTATTTGGGGCCAATAAGGGGAGTAAGTACAGGGTCACCTGGTGGGAGGTGACTGCCAGTGTCCCGGAAGTGTGTCTTTAACTTTTGGTAATTCGTGAGGGCAGGAGTATCGGTCTAGTTCCTTCACTGTTATGTTCCCAGAAGCTAGAACTGCTCTGTTCCCAACACTTGGCCCATATCATGCTGCCAAATATTTATTGGATGGAGGGATGGAATGATTGGCTAACCCTCCAAATGGGAGATGACTTTGAAAGACAGATCGGGCCACATGGTGGAGGGTTTCAATTGAATATGGCATTGGGGAGTTGGCATTTTCTTTCATTCAACAAGTACAGAGATCTATCATGTTTATAGCACTCTAATAGGTTCCAGGGATGTGTTAGCCAATGAGTCAAGGTTCCTGCTCTTGCGTGCTCACAGGCTACCCAGGGAGATAAAAACAAAACAAAATCTTGCCTGTGCAGACACACACACACACACACACACACACACCGTGAGCATGTATGTTTGGAGAACTCTAAAAGTTCTGTCTGAAATTCAACACAGCAAATGATACTGTTTTCCATGTGCTAGCAGATTATTAGT